CTTGGAGACCAGATCTGCATAAAAAGTTGCAGCGCGTGGGACGTAGCTAGTGGATTTGGGTTGGACCATGTCTGGACAGGCAGGGATAGCGGGATTAACTTGAGGGCAGGAAGATGTGGGGTGGGCTAGCGACCTGCAGAGTGCGCATGTGATGTTGCAACATCCTAAAAACACTCTGTTGTGGAGATCAGGGTCCAGCGCGCCCCAGTAGGGGCACTGGTTCCACTGAGCCACGCGAACCGCACATTTGGCAGAGAATAATTTGTGGTATGTATAGAAATGACCACCTCCGTAGGACAGCGCGAGTTCTGCGACTATGGCCAAATAATCGTCGAGTTCGCGCCGTCTATGGGGAAAAACTGAGCAAATAACATCTGTGTAGCGGCTGAAAGTGATGGTGAATTCGGAAAATGAGAGGATGCGAGATGAGTTAGGAGCAGGGTTTTTCAGAGTGACAGAGAAATTTCCGCAATCAAAAAGCCGATTTGATTCGGCGACGGGGAGGAGAGAAAGCAGAGATGAGAGATCAATATCCGCACCTGCGATGATCTGAGACCTGATGTTGTGAGTCACCGGGGGTGGTTCTGAAGCAACGGCATTCAGTGGGGCAGGAAGCGATGTAGCAGACAGTAAAGAGAACTGAGTTTTTGAATGAAGAGCAGAGCTGGAAGGGAGGGAAATGGGGGCTGTGACTGACAGCAGAGGCAGCCTCACGCTTGCACTAGCCCCTGGGGCTTGAGGTAGGGGGTAAGAAGAAGTTGGAGGAAAAGAGGGAGGAGGCCAGTTAGCTTGCATCGCTGGCTGGTGTTGTCCTAAACTGGCGTTTACGGTGAGGGCTGCAGGCCACTGAGAGAAGAGGGGGGCGGAGGTTAAAGAAGAGAAGTGGTAGGGTAGCTGGGCTTGAGCAGCTAGCGGAGGCATCCTCGCGCTAGCGTCTGCTGCCGGGGCTAGATTAAAAGCAGGAAAGGAAGAAAAGGGGTAATAAGGTATGATAGCCTGTAATGCAGCGGGCAGCGCCATGCCTGGAGGAGCTGCGACATCTGGTTGAGCCGAGGAGTGAGGCGGTACGGGATCTGGGAGGGTGGAGTCTGGGGCGCGGCCCTGGCTTGCTGATGGCCTGCTGATTCTCTTCGATCGTGGGGGGCTGGAACTGGACCTAGAAGATGAAGTGCCAGAGACATGGGAGGTTTTATTCTTACGGACTCTACTTGACTTTGAAGGAGTGTTAGTGTGTTCCAGGGAGACGTAAAGACTGTAGAGCTCGGCTTTACTCATCCGCCGCGAAAACCGGACATCTGAATTAGTCAGAGCTTGTCTCAAACCTGCCACGGTCCATTTTGCAATGGGAGGAATGGACGGTGGAGCGGAGACGTAGGATGATGCTGAGGATGGTGCTGGTTGTCTTGATGGTGGAGGTGAACGAAGTCTTCGAAGGCTTGGTGTGTGAGCTGTTGATCTTGCAGGCCGGCGTCCGCGCGCCGAGGCACGGGGCTCGGCGGCGTCACTTGGCCGAGAAGGAAGCGCTTTTGCTCCGTTGGCTTGCGAGGCAAGTCCCTTGGGGCCGGTGGCTTGAGAAGACGGCATCTTCGAGCCGGTGGCTTGAGTTGGAGCGGCTAGCTCGTGGTCGGAAGGAGAAGATACTACTTTGGACATAGTAGCAGACGAGTAATGCTGGAAAACTGTCGTGGAACTGAGGTAAGTTGGCTGTATATATATATACACGTATTGTGCTTGTTAAGGTGATTAGCTGATGAGCTCCACCTGGGCCAGACTGTTTGATTATCTGATCGTGCTCCTCCTGAACCTTGTTAATAAAACATCATATAATTAAATTTATCATTTTGAGGGCGGATTGTAATCCAGAAAAGATTATGTGTTTATGAAACACATGTGACTGAAATGAGATTATTCCAGTTTTACATGTGCATCTGATTACAAATAGCACAATATTTGTATTTTAAAGAGAACCAGTTCTAAGGAAGAATAATTTGCTTTTTGTGTTAAAGAATGTCTTTATATGAAATTCGGATGGTATGACAATTAGAGATTAGACTGTACAGAAATTGAAATCTATGCGCTAATACACACTACATACACGTAGTCACGCAACACTGATATTGTTAACATTAACAATTTGAGAACAAAGTATAACAATAATAATAATTTGCATGGTTTGATTTGATATGAGCTAAGCGATCATTAGATTTAATCACAATTGGTAGCGCGATTTATTTTATTGTAATGTTTTTTCCTCAGTTGGTCAGAACAAAATTGGCAGACATGTTACTAACTTGTTCAGATGACAATATCCGGTGACAATTCTTATTTGGGTCAAACTTCCAAGACGTATAATCTGTGATTCCTAAGTACAGTACCGGTGCGGTGACTGACAGCCACACATCAAAACATTAGATTAATCCGCGCTGGAGCCGTGCCAGAGCACAACCCACATAAAGAAGATAATTCCACAAATAACTGCAATTGCAGGTTTCAAAGAGAGATGGCGACACAGAGGCAAAATTTACGGACTGCAGCCTTAAGAATTAAGAGCCATAAATAAACATTGTACTTCTCCTGGCTGTGAAATCCCTTTCTTTGCACATGTTTCTGAAGAATCTCAAACATTTAAATAAGTGGCTGAAGTTTCTCTGATATTTTCAGTCTGATTTTAGCAGTTCAGCCTATTTCACTGTGGACTGACACAATGTAAAATAAACTTTGTAAACAGGCTGTTATTGAAGGTTCTGTTAATACCTATATAGAAAACAAACTTAATTAATATACTGTATAATATACAGCACAAGTTTGTGCAGCTCATGTGAAGAGGACATTTCTTAAAGGCACAGCAACAAAAAACTGTTAATTTTTTAAACTTTCTTAGCATTACATGCGGATGATATATCATATCATATAACCCTTTTAATCATACAAAATATTGTGTCCACAACATCTCTATAACAACATGATATTTACTTTACAGCTCCAAGTAGCACAGTCCAGAGATCACTGTGACATAATGTTATGTTTACATGGAAGAGTTTAAAAAGAACGTGCAAAGTTTAGAAATCAATATACATGATGAATACAATTAAAATGTAGAGTTCTCTTGACATTTTGTAGTTACAAACTGAGGCACAGTATAAAGAACAATGAAATCATCAACACATCACTTCTCTGGATAGTTTAATGACATACTGTATTAGAAGATTAGTTTATCTAAAAAAAAAAAAAACCCAGAAGATAAGGTTTCAGGGTTTATTCTCAGAAAACAGTGAACTAAAATACACACGCCAAAGTATCAAAAGTTATTTATGACTACTAAACCTTAACCCAAAGCACTATATTATTTAAACCAGTCATAAGTACAATGTACAACAAAATACAATAGCATATTGTACAATTGTACAATTTATTCAAGTTTTGCATTCAGAGGATAATAAACCAAAACCATCACAGATTATATATGCATTTTATAAGTAAAAATACACAAACATTGAAACGGTATACATTTTAGTAGTAGTATATACACTGAACAAAAATATAAAGTTTTGAGGGAGCATGCAATTGGCATGCTGACTGCAGGAATGTCCACCAGAGCTGTTGCCCGTGAATTTAATGTTCATTTCTCTACCATAAGCCGTCTCCAAAGGCGTTTCAGAGAA